TTAGTTTTATTTATATATATATATATATATATATATATATATATATATATATAGTTGCATCCATTACCTTTTTACTTTTTTTGTTCATTAAAGTCTTTCTCTTCTTTCTCAAGAGCACTTTAATGAAATTTTTTGGGAGAAACTAGATTGTTGTAGCTTCTCCTTCAAGTTTTTTCTAGATCTTTTTGTTCTTGACATTCCTCAAGCTTCTTCAAAGTCTCCAACGGGGAGGAAATCTCTAAAAATCACATTCAATGGTGAAAGACTCTCAAGTGGGTTCACTTCAAGGATGAAGATAAACCACTTCAAATCTCATCACACTCTTAAGAAAATGATAAGAGAATTGGAAGTAAATCAAAGAGAGATTTAAGATTTTAAGAGAAAGAAATCTAGGGAGAAATGTTGGCCAAGTCCAATAATATTCAAAACCTAAGTACAAATGGTTCCAAACACCTATATATAGAGCTTAGGTTGCTTGGAGAAGAAACTAGACATCTAGTAGACAAGGATACACTTAGATCTAGACCCACCAATCACAAACAAGTTCTAGGGGACATGTTGAGTCATGTAAGAGACATCTAGATCTAGAAGAGCCAATGAGCAAGTTCCAAGTGTCCTCTTATTTGTAAGTGGTTGGAGAAGTGGTTCCAAGGTGAGAAGTAGCCAAAATCTGCGACCAAGGTGGCCTTTGGCTTGTCATGACCGAACTAAAAACTAAGGGACTAGTTTGCTTTTGTTAACCAAATGAAGGTTAAACCAAGTCAAATGAATTCCTTGGGCCAAGAGAAGAAAAACAAGACAAATATCACTTTTGAATATTTCCACACCTTTACTACTTCCATATCATCTAAAATGACTATTGACACACCACTAGAATGACTATTTCCACTACAATTACTAAAACTCAAGAAAACTAAAAACTGTGACCATGAATACAAGGTCAAAAGGAATACATTCCATAAGAAACATGCCTCTAAATCCTAAAGCATGACCTACAAACAAGAAAACATACACTCCTAAATACAAGGGTAAAAGCAATCTATACATTTAACTACTACATACAAAGGAATGAAAAATAAACTATACAAAGTATATATAATAAAAGACTAGGAAACAAGGAAGAAAATACATACTTCATGCTTATGATAAGCTCGGGTCTAAGAAACAAATCCTCTCTAGTAGCTTCTTTTAGCCTTACTATGTAATGCATATCCTAAAAAGATTATTTCATCAACTTTTGAGTCAATTTACCAAGTTGTTTTTTACAATTATGTAGCACAAAACACTTACATCCAAACACTTTGAAGTAAGATATATTAGGCTTTCTTCCTTTATAGGGTTCATATGGAGTCTTTCTCAAAATAGGTCTTATTAACACTTTATTCAAAACATGACATGCAATGTTTATGCCTTTAACCCAAAAATATTTTGGCAAGTTATTTTCATTTAATATTGTTTTAGCCAACTCTTCTAATGATCTATTTTCTCTCTCTCAACTACCCTATTTTATTAGGAGGTTCTTAGAGCTAAAAAAATTATGATTAATGTAAAGCTTTTCATAAAAGATTTGAAACAAGTCATTTTGAAATTCTCTTCTATGAGCACCTCTTATGGATGCAACCTTAATGTTTTTCTCATTTTGAATAACTTATAAGTTTCTTAAAATCACTAAATGCATCACTCTGAGGCTAAAAGTACAACCCATGTAAATCTAAAGTAATTATTAACCATTACTAGACTATAATAGTTACCACTTATACTCATGATTCTAGAAGGTTCAAATAAATCCATGTGAATTAGTTCACTAGTACAAAACTGGGCTTTTACGTCACCCATTTTACGTCAGAAAAACGAAACCCCGACGTTATAAAAACGCGGTGGTAGTTTCGTAATTATTGACTCACTAATTTACGTCGAACGTTGGGGGGATTGACGTAAATTAGACAATCTACGTCGGCCACTTGTGCATCCAACGTAGATTGTCTAATTTACGTCGGACCCCCCAACGTCCGACTTAAATTAGTCACTAAAACTATAACGTTCATTTCATTTCCCGCGCGCGCGTCCCTTTGTTTTCTCTCATCTAAGATTTCAATCTTATTCTCTCTTCTAAGTCTCAATCTTTTTTTGTCAATCTTCGTGTGTTTGCACATTCCAGACTAAGCCTAAGATTCTGCACATTCGACAAGCGAGGTAACATTCAATCTTTTTCTCTCATCTATTTTTTTTTATTTTCTGATATGTGTTCATCTAGAACGGCCCGTTCTGCAAGGAGAACGGGCCGTTCTCCTTGCAGAACGGGGCGTTCTCCTTGCAGAACGGGGCGTTCTCCTTGCAGAACGGAGCGTTCTCCTTGCAGAACGGGGCGTTCTCCATGTAGAACGGCCCGTTCTCCTTGAGTTTTTGTTGTTGGGAATTGTTGATCTGGAACGGCCCGTTCTGGTTTCAGTAAGGGCCGTTCCAGATGCATGAAAGGACTTTTTTAGGCATTGACCTTTAGTTTACCATGTTATCGCTTGGATTTGACTAGTTAGAAGATCCACACTGGAGGAGCTCCTTGATGCGGGCGGCGTCAACGGCGCGGTCGCGGGTGACGGCTACGTCCTCGCGAAGATAGAGGAGGAGAAATTGATTATGGAGGCAGCTTCTTCCAAGATGTTCAACAAAGAAGATTACATTGTCTTCCACTCAAGAACTCTCCCAGCTTGCTCAGAGCAAGGGTTTTCCTGCGCTCGATTTCACTTTGCAAATTGAAGTGGCATCATCACCATGTCCGTCAATCTCATCCATTCTTCTATTCTTCCCTTTTCTCTTCCCTAACCTAACGCCTCTTTTTCTTCTTATTCTAGGGAAGTCAAATCCTCTTCTCGCAAAATCTCACCTCCACAATAGGTATTCTTAATTTCATGTTTATCAAATCAATTGCACCTTAATCATATTATGTCCACTTGTCAATCACCTAACACGAGGGATATAGTGTATAACGAAATGCAAGTCATGAATTTATGGAATTTGCAACAGGACCATCTATGCAGATGCAAGTTGTCAAGGTGCTCTGCTCGGGCTAGAGAAGGAAGGCTTCAAAGTTACTTGAAGATTTTGATTCCAGAAATCACTCATTAACAACTGAAGATTTTGTTGATATTTTTAAGTACTATGCACACTCTCCTGATCCACTGGTATGCTCAATTACCAAATATGTTCACAAAATGAATGTGGCATATACATGTTTGTTGTTTCCGAAAGTGTTGTTGATATTATAGTTTATGATTTTCTCCTTTTTGTAATGTGGCATTGTTATTGTAAACTTAATTGGACAAATTCACATGCTACTTGACCCGCCTCAATGGACCCTGGATTTTTAAATATCTTTGCCCAGTTCCAAAACTTCCAATGTTGTGCTCCAGGATTCTATGTTTAGTGCATAGGATCTTATACACAGGTACAGGAATGCAATTCAACATACATAATATATCAATTTATTTACAGATGGCAGTTTTGCATACTGTTGAATTGTTCCACAAAAGATGGAAGGCTACAGGAATCAATTTTAGTTTTGCATTTTGTGTTGTGTGTTTTTAAAGATTGAAGACTAAAGTGTGCATGAGCCAGAGTTAAAGGGGGGAAACGGGATTTTGCTCTTAGTTTTATTTTGAAATTGGAACAATGTTATGTTGTGTTTGAAACTGGTCAATATGTAGGTGATCTAGCTGATCCAACTGCACCGAATGCTCTGCTGGTCGGTGGCTTGGCTAAGCCAAATCATGTCTCGGTCACTGGATCAGAATTGCAACTAGATCGGCCAGTCGGTGATGCCATAATCTAAGTGGATAAGACTGCTGCTCCTGATCATGTAGTAGGTGATCCAGCTGCTGATTTGGTTCCATTCCAACCAAGGTATTGTGTTGTTTTTTTTGTTGCTGCTATTATAAAAGCATGGTTTTTTGATTAATAGCCTATAATTTGGGGTTTTGTTGTGTTTTCAGACTGACCTCCGTTTCCAGAGCCATGCTGTTCTTGTGTTGCAAAAGGCTGTCGAGGCATATTTCTTTTTGTCGAAGCCGATAGGTTACTAGGGGAAATAGGTGTTTACTATCAGTCATATTAATTGTGATAGGCAAATATAGCTAAAAGTTTGTGAAGGTCTGATTTTTAGAAGTTTGGCATGTAATTGATTTTTTCCAAGTAGGTGATCCAGCTGCTGATTTGGTTCTAGTCCAACCATGGGATGAATTTTCATATAATTTGAATTTTTATTGATCTAAAAGATGCATTGAACCATATCTGTAGCTGCATATATTTCATAATTATTGAATGGATTTTATATTTTTAACAAGTTAGTCTTTTTAATTTTGCGCATCTTAATGCACATCTGATATGAAAACTTTAACGGTGATCTAGTGCGGTACTTGGCTGCGGGAGAGCACTTGGTGGAGCACCAGCTAAGAATCTAATTTTTAGGGTTATATTAGGTTTCATTTAGTGTGCATTTGACAAGGTGAATTTTGGCCAAGGCACCCTAACTGCAACCCTAGATGCCTCCCACTCCTATAAATACCCAAGGCACCACACCTTGTAAATACTTTGGATTATATGATATTGAGTGAGCATTTTTGCCTCAACATCTCTTCCTGAGTCACTAGGTTATCTTTGGCTAACCTTCTCTTATCTCCACCATTGGAGAGTGAGAAACCTAGAGTGGCCTCCATATTCATTTTGGTGTGAGCCAACCTATCTTCACTGTATTCTTTATTGAATAAGAGATGGCCTTTAAATAGCCATTGTACAACGTAACGAATCAACAAGACGATAACAAAAATATCTTATCAAAACAAATTTTATCAAAAACTATCTTATCTAAAATGAAACAAATAAGTCAAAACAGACTAAACAAACTAACTCGGATATCTCTAAAATTTAAGATTATCTAACAATTTCTTTTCTTTTGCTCTCTCTTCTTTCCCTCTACTTTCTGCTTCACATCGAGGGGAACCTAGCGAGGGAGACCAACCAGATCTTGTGTATGTTCAACTTCTACATATCAAGGTACGGGGAAAAGGGAATTATTTGTATGTAAAGTTACATGAGAAAATTGGGTAGAGGAAGAGTCCCTTAAAATTATGAATAATTTTATAATTATTTTTATTTGAGAAATTGATGATCCCATTAAATTTTGTATGTGTTGAGGATTAGAAATATATATTTAATTCGTAAGAATGATGATCTAGGAGAGAGAACGAAATTATAGAAAAGTGCCTGTAAGTTAGGTTTTGAAAATATTGGATTATTTCTGTTTGAGGAATTAATGATCCGATTAGATTCTGTATCTGTTGAGGATTAGAAATATATATTTAATTTGTAAGAATGATGATCTAGGAGAGAACAAAATTGTTGAAAAGTGCCTGTGAGTTAGGTTTTGGAATAATTGGGGGTCACAGATTCATGGTGTCCCGTGAATGGTTTATTGTGTGGCTTGGGTGCTTACAAATCATTCTTGATAGGTGCGTTTCTGATCACTGCCCTATCATATTACAATTATCGAATACAGATTGGGGGCCAAAACCATTTCGTACAGCAGATTTCTGGTTTCAAGATTCAACATTTGAGAGGTTCGTAGTGGAGGCTTGGAAAGAACTCTCAGTTGAAGGGTGGGGGGGCCTATGTACTAAAAGAGAAACTCAAATTACTCAAGTACAAGCTAAAAGAGTGGAGTTTAAATAGATTTGAAGATCCAGTCGTAATTCAAAACAGAATTGTGGGTGAACTGAACAAGTTGGATAAAATGGAGGAACAATCAGGGTTATCAGAGATAGAGATTAAGGCCGGAATAGAGCTACAGAATGAGTTTTGGAGAGTAGCTATCAAAAATGAATCCATTTTGGCCCAAAAGTCTAGGGTGAAGTGGCTTAAGGAAGGAGATCTCAATATCAGATTCTTTCACTCGATGGTGAATTGGAGGAGAAAGAAAAACTCTTTGAAAGGGTCTATTCATTGATGGACGGTGGACAGAAGAACCTATGGTGGTGAAAGGGCATGTGACACATTTTTTTCAAAACAGATTTCAAGAACATGGAAATCGTAGACCAACGCTAGATGGAGTCCAATTTAAATCAATTTCTGAAGCTCAGAATGAGATGCTTGCTGCACCTTTTGAAGAAGATGAGATTCGTAATGCAGTCTGGGAGTGTGGTAGCTCGAAATGCCCTGGGCCTGACGGATTTAACTTTAAATTCATAAAAGCATTCTGGGAGACCCTTAGCGTAGACATTTGTCGTTTCATGAGTGAATTTCATGCTAATGGGAAACTCCCAAGAGGATCTAATTCTACTTTTATTACTCTTATACCAAAGAAAGCCAACCCCCAGAATTTGGAAGACTATAGACCCATTTCTTTGGTTGGATGCATGTACAAGATATTATCCAAATTCCTTGCAAATAGAATTAACAGAGTGTTGCCGTCAATCATTGATGAGTGACAAAGTGCTTTTCTTGAAGGGAGGTTAATGCTCCATAGTGTTTTGGTGGTGAATGACACGATCCTCTTTCCATTATCCCTCCAAATTCCTTCCAATCCTAGGTATGCTGATCCCTGAAACTAAGTGATTAATTCAAACTTATCTTGATTCCAAATACAAAGCAAACCCCCCCAGAGTTTATTACTGGAACCATCCTCCACTGACACTCATGTCCACCCCACAGCAAATGACACATCCTAGTTGATATTTCCTCTCTCTTAGTTTCCTGTATACACAGAAAATCAATGTTCTCCCGTGCCACGAGTTTCCTAAGGTATCTCCACTTGATTTGACCCCCTAAGCCCCTCATATTGAAAGTTAGCAGCTTCATAATCCACCTTTAGTTTTCCCCTCTTGAGAGCCTCTGATAAGCTTTTCCTTTTCCTGTTTATCTCTACTCTCTAAGTTAACTAAATTCCCAATTATTGTTTCCTCCTGTTGGTCATATGTTACTCCCAGTGCCTTACCTATTTCCCAAATCTTTTTTGCCTCCATTACATCATTTTTCAACCAATAGAGTCTGTTGCAATTTTTTATGCTACCATCAGAGATAGAGCTGCTTATAGAGGGAATTTGAGGCCTAACCTGACTGTGGAGTGTGTTGATATTGATATTTCCTTTCCCCATTCGTTGCTCGGCTACCTCTTCAGGTGGAGTATTCTTCATATGTTTATACCGCCTCTCAATCTGGACTTTCCCATTGTTGCCAGAGTTAGCTATCGTTGTATGAAAGGATCCATCCGAAAGCTGGAAATGATTCGCGCATCTCACGTCGTCCACCTCTTGTTCATGTGGGTTACTACAATTAGAAGCCCCTGCACGAAGCCCAACCGTTCCAAAACCTGTGGTATCAATCTCGTCCCCACCCAATTGTGATTGGGCCTTGGTTAGCGGCACAAGATCATTTGACTTAGTTGCTTGTTGGGTTTTTGGGTCGAGAAGTTTTGGTCCAGCTTTTGAGGCCCCTACACCTTTACCCGCATTGGGCCCAATAGATAACCCCTCGTCGATGACCTGGTGGTTCGTTGTCTCGTCCACCTCCACCGTCAACCCTATAGTACTTGGTCTACCCTTTAAGGTTGTCCCAATCTGCTCCAAGCATGTGTCTTTTCCATCTTCTTTATGTACTGCATTCATCGAATTGTGCCCTGACCCGCCCTTTTGAGTTCTTGAGGCATTTGTTTTATGCTCTGATTCAGCCTTTTTTTGCGTGTACAGATTTGGCATGTTTACATGGTCCTTCCTTGGGGATCCTTCATCTACTTTACCACTTTCCAGGGACCGTTGGGTAATATCCCGCAGCTCAAAATTCAAATTTTCACTGGTATTGGCCGTCCGACAAGGTTTTGCCATATCTGTCTCTTCTACCACCTCGATCGAGTCCATGGATGACGAGTCCGACAACATGTATGTTGAATCACTCTCGTTAGATGCTACTGATTTGGCAGTATTACCCCAAAGCCAGCATTTGCAATGGTTCATTGTTGTGGTAATTTCTTCATGTATACGCACCTGGGTCACAACGTCATTTATCTTAGCCAAGAAGTGAGAATTAACTAACTGAAGAGAGGACGTCTTGATGAGTAGCCTTGTCGAGTCCACCCTACTCATGGAGGATGTTTCGTTATCCACCGCAATAAGGGTTCCTATAGCACCAACAATCTTGGAGAAGCATACTTTTCCCCACATTTGAATGGGTATGCCACTACACCTGACCCATGCCACTCTATTCCCAGGCACTAGAGTGGGCTCCCATTTTTGGATGGTATGGAAGAAGCTCCAAATTCCAGTCTCATCTGCATCATCCTTCAGTACACTTTCTTCCACTCCAGATATAAGCACCATGTCATCTCCCATATATCTAGCTTTTGCATTTGGCACCTCAGAGAAGAACCGTGCTTCCTGTAGTCTATCAAACTAGGTGAGGTCCCTCAATCTGCCCACCCAGCATCCTCTCAACCACTCAACGTGTTCTTCTACCACTGAAAAGGACAAACCGCTCCACTTGTCTTGGTTTCCAGACTGTTTAATCCTCCACAGCTGGTGCTTACCTTTAATGCCTTGTTGAACGGCTTGTGCATAACTCTTCTGTGCACCCATGTGTGGAAATGAAGGTTTCGCTTCGTCAGGAGACTTGAACGTAGGTGTTACACCTTCTTTGCACTGATTACCAACCGTTCGACCTGCGATTATACGGTTTCCCATCACCTTTCTTCCAGTAGTTACCATCTCTCCTCTTCTCGGATATTTGGGAAGGTTTACGCGTAGCTTAAACTCACCAATGAAAATATTGTCCAGTTCATTTTCTAGCCGTTTGATATTTTGAACCTCTATAAACCTGACGAATCCATATTTTTGTCCCCAGCTATTTCTTCTCGTAGCCAAGAATACCTCCCACACCCTTCCATACTTTTGAAATATCTTCCATAAAGCGTATTCATTGAAAGCTTCGGGAAAGTTCGTGAAGAAAAATGTTGTACGTCTTCTACCGTCTCTTCCAATCCTATTATTGTCCCACTTCGCCACCCTTGACCGTCTTCCGTATCCGCTCGCCATTGATAAGCTCTCTTTTGTATTGTAAGATACTCCTCGCCTTTTTAATGAAAAAATTTAGCTGGTCATTTTTAATGAGCAGTATCACTCCTATTTCGTAATAAATATTATATAAAAAAACACTCTAAAAGATAAATATTATTTTAATTTTTAATATAATAATAGTCGAGTGGAAGGGATTTGAGTAATTAGAAGCATGAGGACCTAAGTTCAATCTTTACTGCGACTATCTTTGTAATCTTTCTTATCTTTAAAAAAAAAATTACAT